TAGTATTACTTATCAGAGTGGATGTTAAGAATTATATTTGGTTATGTGTCTATAACTAAAACTTCAAAATGAAACATATTATCACTCAAATTAGAGAAGAGAACTAAATTGGAGGTAGCAGCCTGGTAATTCAACAGGCTGAAATTACATGCTTCCTAATATAAATATTTTCACATCAAGACCATAAGTTTGGTCAATTTAAGACGTGATTACCAAAACACACCAACTGTAAGAAGGGGAGTAAAAAGGGAGGGAAAAGTGCAGAAACCTAGGGATGGATGATGCCTGGCAATGAAAGTCATTTTCAAAGACCATTAACTATCAACTGCTTTACTCAGGGCTCTGATTAAATAAGAATATACATCCTATGTTAAAAGGGATGGCTTCATGAGTGGGATAGAGTTTAGAATAAAAATGCATTGCACAAACAATAAAGAATCAAACCACGATATACAATTAGGTATCTGACTTATAAGAGAAACTGTATATGTGCCTTTTAAACTGTTGGTGAATAAACATTTAAATTATTTGGTGGGGGGGGGTAGGAAGTCAGACAAAACCACCATTTCCACTTGAAAATACAGACTCAACAAACTGAAACTGTGTTTGCCTATATGAATAGAAAGAACTAAAAGACTACTGGGAGAAAAATTCATATCAAACATGTTTTTAAATGGATTCCAGCAATGTTATTATATATTTCCTACAATATATTTTATGTATCATTTCTCTGAATGTGCTAGATTTTATATTAGAAAGAAAGTTTGCTTTACTCTGTCATATCTCTGGTGAGCAGACGCTCTAGTATTAATGTAAATCGTTGATTTAATTTTTAGCTTTCTTGGTTTGCCCCTCACCTACCCAAGAAATGATTTCTCTGGTGATAACTAACACATCATGCTAATGAGAGAACCTAATGCACAATAGAAAAATGTCACTACTAATAATATTTGCATGAAGTTAAATAAAGCAACTGTAAGAGAATGTCAGACAGTTGTTCTTTAATAAGACACAGTTTCACAATGAAATTATGTTGTTAATTTTGTTACATCATTGGGTGAATCCTAAATTACTACATAATGATGCACAGAGTCATTTATAATTCTAACTTAGTATTTCACTTGTGTCTGAAAAGAGACCTTATTAAGGGATCTACATTTTATTTGAAACAGGTTAAATACACCTCACTAATAATAAAAGGTAAATGCCTCTAATAATGTGTAAAACATGGGCTGGAACCATTTACCTGTTACAGTTTCATGTATGAAAAGATTTCAAAATATATTAGACTACTGCATTCCTTGAAGTAACTACAAAGAATTTTATTTGATAGTCTCTCAGGTGCACAAAATATTTATAAAAATAGAAAAATCCCCTTTTAAAACCTGATTCAGAAAAAAAAAAACTTTTAAAAGTAGGCCTTAGTTTCTGGTTTTAACAAAACTTAATGAGGTTAAAATGAGCAAAATAACATCCTAGATTCTAGGAGATTAACACAGAAGATGAGCAAAGGGTTTCTGGCCATTCTCGACCTGTCACTGATCAAAGTAACTCAAAAAAGAACTTCCTTTACAAAAGCCAAAAGTCATGCCCTTTAAGGTTATCAAATATTTGTCTGTATGGAAAAAAAATACCCTTTTTGAAAAAAATCACACTTAAACATGGGAAAGATGCAGAAAGGCAGGAAAATGTGGTAAAATTATCATATCTTGAACTTAAGGGAAACATAATTCCACCAAATCTAAATTGGCTTCAGTTTGCGATATCTTTTTGATAGTCGTAGAGAGACTGACAGATTTACATATAAGCAGATCCAACTTTGCTCATACAAAAGACAAAGAGTTTTATAGCCCTACTTTCTAATTTACCTTTAGAAGACACAAATCTAGATTATTAAATGTCAGTATTCATGAGATATTTCCCACTACAAGTGTTGCTGTAGTTAAATAATATTGGTAATTAATTCTCTGTAGCTCAGTTTTGAAAACTGCTAGTCTTTTCTAATATTTAAATAAATGATCAGGTAAATCTTATAGTTTTTATATTACTACAGAAAACTTTGAAATAAAAAAAGTACACCCAATCAATTGTTTATTTCATGAGTTAAGTCAATTTTTTCTTAGAAATTAAAATAATCAGAATATACAAAAACCTCTTTATACAGAATTCTGCATACCTGCTTACACTGGACTTTTACCTGTAATAAAACAAAATGTGGCTTAAAGTGTATAGTGAAACCAGTATTCCTTGAAACTGTTGGCTTCAAGAAATATCATTCCAAGAAAAGTGTCTTTGCTGCATGCTCAAGCACACGCTCACGTGCGTGCGCGCACACACACACACACACACACACACACACTCTGAATCAGCACTGCTGATGAACTATAGGTACAGAAAATAAACATATTAAACATGTATATAGCACATATATTTTTAGATCTACACAGTTTGAATTTAAGTTTACATAAGATTTACTCAAACTAAAATGTTTTTATCCTGAAGGAGAAAAAAAAATATGTAAACTCATACACTCCTTACATGCTTTCCAAAAATGAACAGGAGGATAAACATTTAGTAACCATGACAGAAAAAAAAAAGGGGGTGAGGGGAGTCACTATATTAAAATCAAAGAATAAAAATACACACACATATATATATACACACATATATACATATATAGTTAAATCACACTTTTTAATTGTGTTTTTCTCCTTTTATTTTACTACTCTGTTTAGTAAATGGTAAAATATTACATAGTTTTGTATAGCTTTCCTTATGCATACATCACTTCCCTATATTTCTACTCTTTCCATATAGTCAACTGATGCTAAGACACATATACATGCACAGAGGTAGAGACAAAATAGATCTGTATCCACAAAGTCAAATAACTGAATCAAAGACATCATAATAGCTTAGCTGTACAAGTTTCTTTTTCTCAGTGATTTCAAATTATTTTCCTAATTTTGATCAATCCTTTATATAATTTACTTTTATTTGTTTTTTAGCTAAAATGTTTTCCACGATTTAAAGTCTCCTTAGATTCAAATCTACTTGGAAATGGGCTAGTGCCAAAGAAGCAATCTAACACCATCTATGTGGTTCAATAGCCATTTATCAATTGATCATTATCTCTATCTGGTTTTATTAACTCTTTTCTAGCTAGATGGAAATCTAAACCAATCTCCCCTTCACACCACTCACACACACTTGACTTCCCCTAACTCAAGGAAAACCCTAAACGTGACATCTAATTTTTAAAGTGCGGCACAAGTTGCTTGTTCCTAAAGTCAGTGAAAACATACTGTGTTCCAACTATGGAGAGAGCCACCCAGGCAGGCAGGGATGTGTCTCAGAAACACACCTCTCAAGGCACTCTACAATGACAAAGAGTATCTCTGGGAGGAAATGAACTTTTTAACTTGCAAGAATGGGAAATGGCTCGTAAAAGAGTTGCTTATTGGGTTTATGTTGATTACATTTAAATCCCAGCTTACTGTATCAGCAGTAATCAGGGTCCCTCTACAGGATATGTCAAAATACACCTTATTCAAACGCATGTATCCTATCTAGAAAGGCATGATAAAACTGTTCGCTAGCTAAATGCTACAAAACCCTGGCTCCGAGCACTGGCTTTTGCAGATGTACCTCTAAACTTCTGGTAGTTTATAGCCTACCAAATTGTTTTCTTTCCTTCATTACCAATGCTCTAAAAAAATCTAATTAACTCAATAAAGTATTTAATTCTCATGAACTCTTGCAAGCAATACAGGTTTTAGAAAAAGAAAGCAACTGCAATATATTTTCTTTAAATGAGTGGAACAGTACCAATTTCTTAACTACCATCTACTTAAAATCCAAGTGCATTTGTCAGTAGTAGTTTCATGCTGTGTGGATGACACTATCATGCTAACTCTTGCTTTGTGTGGGTTTGGTGTATGCTTTTGAAAAGCAAGACGTGTCTAGGAGGGAGGCACCAGGGAACTTCCCTCCCTCGCTTGAGCACAGTCCAACATGAAAGTTTCTGGGTTGTTTCCCTTCGCTTCCTCTCACCCTCGCTCCCCCTCGGAGCCGGAGCCGCAGAGCCAGCAATTGTGCAAGAAGAGCCGGGTGTGCAGGGCGCGTATCACCAAGCGCATGGTACGAGCCGCCGACTCCGGTGATTAATTATCAGTTGCCGCCGACCTCGCACTAACACGTCGGCTTTCCGGGCAGAGCCAGCACACCCAGCCGCCGGCAGCGCGGCCCTGACCCAGCAGCGGCTCTGGGGAGGACACCACGGCTGCGCCCGAGTGTGAGTGCGCCGGCCAGCGGGCGGGTGGGCGGACCGGCGAGTGTGCGGGAGCGGAGCCGGCGCCGGTGGGAGCGCAGGGGCGAGCGTGGAGGCGGACGGGCGGGAGCGCGGCCTCGGCCGGTGCAGGCGAGCTGGGACCGGCCGGCACGGGCCGCCACTCACGCCGCTGCCGCCGCCGCTGCCTCCGCAACCCTCGGCGCTGGCAGCGATTCCTGCACAGCCTCCTCTCCGCAGGTCGGAGTCGAGCTGCTTCCAGCCCGTGAAGTCGGTTGGGCTGTGCAGAGGGGCCCCTACATTTTATGGCTGTTTGGTTGGAGAACCTACTCCGAGACAGCGGACACTGTGATGAAGTGATTAATACAGATAAAAAGATACATTTGTTGGGTGGTGGCTTTTTTTTTTTTTAATGTTAAACAGAAAACAAAGAAATAAAGTCTTCCCATGACCCAGGCTATACTGTGAAACTTTGCAACGAATGCCTTTGCTTTCTTTTACTTCTGTATCCTTTCCCCTTTTTAAGGAGCCCTCAGGGAAATCATGAAGTAACCCTGCACATTCCAACACCACAGTTATGACAAAACAGAGCCTAACTGTGGAGTGATCAAATTTTTAAAAATGTTTAAAAAGAAAAACAGCAGAAACAAAAGTACACATAACAATTCAAGGTTTAAAAAAAAAAAAAAAAAAGCAAGCAAGAAAAACTTACCTGTTGGGACATTCTGAATAAGAGGTTAGTATCAGCGTTTTGCCATGTCCCCATGAACCCTGGTTCAGCCGTAGTCGTTCTGGTTCCGAACTGCATGGAGTTGTCAGTACAGGAGTCTCTTAAAGTCAAGTCTCTTGCCCTCTTTGGCTCTCTGTCTCTCTGTGTCTCTCTTTCTCTCACATCCACTTCTGCCTCTTCTGA